AAACCCATCCCTCCCCACACAGGTCACCGTCGTGGGCATCGTGCGGCACGCCGAGAAGGCGCCGACGAACATCCTCTACAAGGTGGACGACATGACGGCAGCCCCGATGGACGTCAGGCAGTGGGTCGATACCGATGTAAGCATCCGCTCCGTTAGGACACGCTGCTTCGAAAGCTTTGGGGAGCGGCGGAGAGAGAAAATAATAATATCTGAAAGGAGCTCCAAGGGTCATCAAGTCCACCTCCCTGCTCCTTGCAGGACTTACTTACCAAATGGATGTGGCCTTTTCTGAAAGATGCTTTAGGGGTAATACGTCTCTGAAATCTGAAAGAGATGCTGCTCTGGCAGAGCAGCTCTGTCAAGGCTGTTTTTTAGACTTTAACTGCTGAAGCTCAACCATTACTTCACAGCTGAACTGAGAGGCACATGCTTGGTACTTCTGTGTAGAAGTATAAGGAGAGAGAGCGAACAGAGATTTGGCAGGTGGCTCAGTGACTGAGGTGAAGACATGTACCAGGGAATGTTGCCTGATTTGCTGGTGCGTGACTCCTGAAGTGCTGATAACTAACACTGGACTCTCCTGTGGCTATAGCTGGCTTTAAAGCTAGCCTGGGTCACTGTAACCTGTGTTTGAAGGCAAACAGCTGAGTTCGGTTGGACAACTTTAGTAGAGTAATTAGGCAGAGAGTCAGTTGACTTGACTGCAAGTTTATTGTAATTGAAAAAAGATTCTGGCATCCTTCCATTCCCCTGACCAAGCTAGGTAACTGAAAAACTTGCTTTCTTACTGTTTCTTCCCACTTGTTGCTCTGTGAAAACCTCTCGGAAGTGGGCAGAGACAGCAGAGCAGACAACTGCCTTTGACTGCAGTCACATGCACAAAGTGTGCAAATGAGCAAAGATTCTTCTCTCTATTTTTCATCCTCAGTGATGCCGTTTGCGTTCGCTTGACAGGAGCTCCTCTCCTAAGCCATTTAGTGCAGTAACTGAGGAATAGAAACATGGTTCAGCAAAACCTTCCTTTCTCCTTTCTCTCTCTCTCAGGAGGCGGGTGGTGAGAATGTTGTGGTGCCTCCAGGAACTTACGTAAAGGTGGCTGGCCATCTCCGCTCTTTCCAGGTGAGGTCACGTTCCCCTCATCTGACTCCCGCTCCTGAGGCTGGAGCAGGGGCACGCAGCACGGTGACCAGCACGGTGTCAGCGGGCGGCCTTTAGGTCATCTGCCTAGTCATGGTCCTTGCTTATCCCTTCCTGTGGACAAATCCTCGAGTGTTTTTGCCAGGGCTGTATTTAATGGCACTTTAGCTGTTCCTAAACGCAAAGTCAGAGGACCCCTTTAAAATGCCGTTCTTGTTGGTTTTAGTGGCACGAAGTACCAGCCACCCGGTACCAAGAGGGACAGTGGGATCCTGGGGGAGTGTGTCCAGCAGGGCTGGGGAGGTTCTCCTGCCCCTCTGCTCTGCCCTGGGGAGACCACCCCTGGAACCTGTGTCCAGTTCTGGGCTCCCCAGTTCCAGAGAGACAGGGACCTACTGGGGAGAGTCCACGGGAGAGCTACGAGGGGGATCAAGGGACTGAACATCTCTGCTGGGAAGAGAGACGGAGAGACCTGGGGCTGTTCAGCCTGGAAAGGAGACGGCTGAGAGGGGATTTATGAACGTAGAGAAATACCTGAGGGGTGGGGGTCAAGGGGAAGGGGACAATCTCTGCTCAGTGGTGCCCAGCAACAGGACAAGGAATAATGGGTTTAAGCCAGAACAGAGGAAGTTCCAGCTCAACCTGAGGAGAAACTTGTTGGCTGTGCGGGTGCCGGA